AGCTTTTGGTTAATATGATTGTTGTATGCATCATTTGTTACATCAGATGTGCGTTATATAATTCTTTTTCTTTAGATTGCTATGATGAGTTTTACGTTCATGCCAATTATTATTAAACAGAAGTTAATGGATATTGATCCTAAAAATCATTCAAAGAACTCGTGAAATATTAAAGTGCATTGTTTGGTCCATGAATATGAGCATGTCAAAACTCAAGGAACTCTTATAATACTAACTAGCAATATCTAGCTTGCGAAGTTGGCTCTCACTTAGAAACTCTTAGCATGTTGAAGAGCAGTGTCTAATCTGTAGGTATTACATAGGGAGTTTTCTAGAATTATTTAATTGTATAGACCAAATGTCAAATGAACTAAAAAGGAGGTTTATTTATAGATTTTTTTAGCATTATTTTAATCATGATTTAAAATATTTTTTTAATTATTTGTGAATGATTGGTGGGTATAACATTTTCATATGATCAAATTTTTTCCAATGATCTTTGCTCTTAGCTTGACATATTCTCTCAGACATGGGGCTAGTGGAAGTCGTTGTTAGCAATGTTTTGAATTAATGATTTGATTTTTCCATGTTATTAGGTACATTGCTAAGAGCACATATATGACAACAAATTAAAATTTCAACGTTAAACAACGACCATATAAGGATCCGATTAGGAGATTATATGTTTTAGATTTGACTTTTGTCAAGAAAGATAAAGGTAGACCTAAAAAGACTTGGGCATGTTGTATAAAAAATGATCTTAATTTATTTGAATTAAATGAAAATGTGAAACTCAGTAGGACAGAGTGGACAAAAAGATTCATGTAGCCCCACTTAGTGGGATAAAAGCTTGTTGTTGTCTCAAAGTATCAACATTTTCGATTTACAGGAATAATTTTGAGAAGTATCATCGTCTCTTGAATAAAATCAATGGGTTACGTGAAAATATCTCTTGATTTTTACATGAATTAACTCTAGTATTCGATTAGTATTTTGAGATGAATGGCTATGGTGAATTATTGGAGGGCTATGGTTCATGGAAGTTAAAATCTCATTGGGTGAACTTCATAGTAGAGAGAGCTTGTCTATGTGATGTGCTAGCAATGAGATGACTTGAAGATCTGTTAAGCGACCCCCTTATTGCGAATGACTCTGAAGCCATTAATGTCAAGCACCCTAGAAGCGAGCTTAGTGTCTACTCGTGAAAGAGGAATGACTTAGCCCATTTGGTTTAATCAAAGCCAATTGATATTGAGTTTTTCAGGCTATGATTTGAGTAGTTCAAGTTTGCATGGTCTCATTTTGATGCACTGGATCTTATATTGAGTGATTATGCTATTTTGATCTAGCATGGTCATTGGTTTGATCAAATAGTTAAATTTGGCATCAATTCGGTTATCCTTAATTGCCTCAGTTGCTTGCATGGTGTCTGAAGTTGTGCTTGATTAGGTAGGGTCTTTTATTTTTTTATTTTTTTAGGCAGGGTTTTTTACAATCCTTGACATCCATGAAATTTCTGTTATCTAAAATTAATTAAACTAAAAATATAATAAAAATTGCTTTAATGGCTTCAAAGTATATATGAAATCTTTAATAACTTCTATTAATTCTTGTCACACTATTGGTCGTGTATAATCTGAATTTGCTTGCTGCTATAAAGCTTAGTTTTAGATTTTTGCTATTTTGATGATTTTTATATAATTAAATATTTTGGAAAGCTACCAAACTTACATTTGGAGGGAACACACTACAATATTGCGTTCTTATTTTAATTTATGAAGCCCAATGGCTATTTTTGGTTTTTTTTCTTTAGTGGATTATACAATCTTTATGGTATTTATTTTAAATAATAGCCTCATCTGCTTACTAGGTCATTTGTATTCCTTTTTTTTTACACTGAAGTTTGATCTTGGTGTTTATGGCTTGAAATTGTTTTTTATGTATGAATGTAGTTTTTGGTTGCTTCTAAAAGTATTCTATGTTTTCTTAGTTGATAGTAACCATAGGTTAGGATTGCACTTGGTCATAATTAAGATAAAAATGATAGCATGATAAATGTTGATTTTTAGAATTCAACGGAGTTGTTTTATTGATATGAAATGGGGTATAAATACTCTTACATGAATCCTAGAATAGGAAAGACAAGAAAAAAGAAATAACATGAAAGGAAAGAATTGACACCTATATCTCCAATTAATTAATTTATAATAGTTACAACTTGGAGATAAAAGAAACGACATAGAGTAGGAAAACCTAAAATAGGAAAGGAAATAAATCAAATCCAAGGAAATAAATCTAAAATAGGAAAGGAAATAAATCTAATCTTAATAACTTTTAACAAGAATAAATTATTTCAAATATAATTTAACTTTTAACAAGAATAATTTTTTTCAAATATAATTTTTAACACCCTCCCAAGTTGAAACATAATTGTCACTTGGATTTTAAAATATCAAATGATGGGTGAGGAAGATTATTTGTGAGATAGAACTTGGTCTTCATCTCGTACTTGGTAATCAACCCCAAAAATATTTATGGGTATTTTTAGTTTATTCCGGTTGTCTTTAACTGTAGTTTTTGCAATGTCTGTAGGTAGGCGGAAGACTCCTACAAGTAATATTGTAGGGAAGTTTGCAGGAAAGTAGACAACCTACAAAAAAAAATTTTAAGGCATGGATTGCAAGGAAAAACTCTGGAGAATGACATACTACAGGAAAAAGTTTCGTATGAGGATATGCCGCAAAGAAAAGCTTTTCTCTATTATCGTGAGCTCTGCGAGCATTTCCAAAGGCATCATTAACATAGAGATCAACAAGAGTATCAAGTTTCTTTGCAAATTCTGGGTCATTAACATAGAGACCATCAAGTAATGCAA